AAGGCTTAATAATGTTAATAATAAAACTAGGTTTAAGTGGCATCATTTTTCAAAGCTTTATATGAAACGTAACCCTTGCTATCATAATCTATATTAATATATAAAATTTTTAAGTGACTGACATGCTGATTAATCACGATCCTGCGCAAACCACTCAACGTAAGAAGCTCAATTTTGGCATACAGGTTGATTCTAGGGTGTAGAGGTTCGATAAGAAGGATCGATAATTTTTCGAAATTCCAGTTCTAAGAGGGTGAAACCACCCCGCAAATATTACAATATTTCTTATTTAAAAAACGGTCAAGTTTCCGAAAAAAACGCTTAAACACGTATATTTTATTTTGTTTTCTTACATATTTTAAGATTTTTTTAAAATGTATACAGGGAGTTTCGAAAATCTGGTCATTGGTTAATCACGATCCTGCTTAAAGCGCTTAACGTAAAAAGCTGATTTTTCGAAAACAGATTGACTTTAGGATGTAGAGGTTCGATAAGAAGGGATTTTTCGAAACTCGAATTCTAAGGGGATGAGACTATCCCTCAAATATTAAAATATTTTTTATTTAAAAACCGGTGAGTTTTTCGAAAAAACTCTTAAACGCGTATAATTTATTTTGTTGTTTTACATACTTCAAGACTTTTTTATAAATTTATACAGGGTGTTTCATAAAATATGACCATTGAGTAATCACGATTCTGTTTAAACTGCTTGACGTTTAAAGCTAATTTTTGGCAAACGGATTGACTGTGGGGTGTAGAGGTTCAATAAGGAGGGGTTTTTCGAATCTCAAATTCCAAGAGGGTGAAAACGCCCCTCAAATATTACAATATTTGTTATTTAAAAAACGGTTAGTCTTTCGGGAAAACGCTTAGACAAGCATAATTTTTTTGTTTTTTTTACATATTTTGAATTTTTTTAAAAAATCATACAGGGTGTTCCAAAAAGTTGGGTAATTGATTAACCACGATTCTGCTTAAACTGCTTGACGTAAGAAGCTTATTTTTGGCAAACGGATTTTTCGAAAGTCAAATTCCAATTGTTGCTTTGCTTTATCATCACCATTACAAATGATTAAAAACGAGATCGGTATGTGTATATGACATAAATTAGGATTGATTGACGTATTCAATTGTTTTCGGTCACTTCCTGTTCTCACCGGAAATGACTACACTTTTGATTTTTTAAATTTGATTTTTTTCGGTATTTTTTTACTTTATTCGAATAGAAATGACACTCTGAATCGAATGACATATCATATGTCAACTTTTGACATATTCGCTCAAAAACAAATTGTATTTTAAATTTCAATCTAGAGTGCCATAGCTGTGTTAAAAATACTAATTTTTAATCAAGGTGCCTTGGAAAACTAGATTTGATAGTCTAGTGTTTTTAGTGTCTTGTCCTGGCCCGTTAAAATGCCCAAATAGTATTTTGAATCATATCTCAATTTTTTCAAATGGAACGAGGGTGGCTCATTAACATATTTGGAAAAAGCATTTTTTTACGAATAATTTGATACCGCACACTCGGTATTTTGAGTCAAATTGTCGTTATGAACCGCAAGTTACAATTTCAATTAAACCATATGCGAAAATGTCAAAAGTTGACATATGATATGTCATTCGATTCAGAGTGTCATTTTCTATCGATCAAAGTAAAAAAATACCGCGGGTGCCATTTAAAAATCAAAAGTTGTAGTCATTTTCGGTGAAACCGGAAGTGACCAAAGACAATTGAATATATGTCAATCAATCCTAATTTATGTCATATACTAACATACCAAATCTCGTTGTTTTATCTGAAAAAATAAAAAAGTTATAGGAGTGAGCCACTTTTGAGACGCACCCGGTATAGAAAATTGTATTTCTTACTGAATTTAGTATATTTTTATCTCATTTTAAAACCATACAAATGTTTTAAAACCACACAATTTGTATTAGGGGACATTGATAAAGTTGGTGTAGGCACAGTAAACAAAATTGGGTAGGGCCAGTGATAAAACTTGGGTAGGGACAGTAAAAATATCTGAGATAAAGACAATGAAAAAACTGGCGTAGGGACAGTAAAAATATTTGGGTAGGGGCAGTGAAAAAAGTTCTCTAAGGACATTGATAAAACTTGTACAGGGACAGTGGAAAAATCTGAGATAGGGACACTGAAAAAGGACAGTAATAAAATTTTTAGTAGTTTGGTAGGGACTACACAAATTTTTTCACTGTCCTTACAGAAAATTTTTCAATATACCTATTCCAATATTTCTACTGTCCCTTCGCCAAGTTTTACAGTGACCCTATCCCAAATTTTTTCACTGTCCCTCCAGAAAAAGTTTTCAATGTCCCCACGCAAATTTTTTATGTCCCTAGCCAAATATTTTGACTGTCTCTACATCAGCTTTTTCAGTGTCCCTATCCTAAATTTTTACTGTCCCTACAGAATTTTTTTTAATATCCCTACCCAAATATTTCCTCTGTCCCTACGCCCACTTTTTCAGAGTACATATCCCAAATTTTTTACTGTCCCTACACAAATTGTATGTCCCTGGAGGTTAAACTTTCCCCCTCCCAGACAATCAACATCTACATAATTGTTATTAATTATATTTGTTTTTGGTACGATTTGTAATATATTTTTTTTACTTTATTATGAACATTAATTCAGTAAGAAATAAATTAGTAAAATATATTCTACCAAAACTTACAAAAATAATTATTGATAAATCCAAAATATATTCCTTTTCAGATTGTATCATTTCTTCAATAATACATTTTGATCTAAAAACCAGAAAATAAATGCTATTCTACATATTTTTATGAAATATTTATGCACAAGTACAAAAAAATCTAGAAGGTGCAAATAAATAATTGATATAAAATAAAGTGTAAAATAAAAAACTAAGAATATATTACTTACTTGTTTTTTGTATCTGTTAGTTGATAGTTATTTAAAACATTATTCTTATATAGCGTGCTTTCGTTAATATGGTACTTTGGATACAAGCCATAAAAATTGCAATTCAGATACAAGTGATCATTGGAATCAATGAATACTTCTTCATAAATATTATCAGAACTATTTGATGCTAAAAATTGAGAAAATACCTAGTACAGAAAATTTAAAACCTAACGAGAAATATACGAAACATATTTTTAGATGCATATTTTGCTCACAATATTTTTTAGCATCATCATAATATAATTCAAACTAAACATTAATTTTTACCACTATTTACTAAAAAATAGAGTTTAATGTTTAAGCTACAACTTTTTTAAAGTCTCCTGTATTTTGAAAAATATATTTTAATTGTAGGTAACTATTAATATTCCTTAAAACTATAGAGTTTAACATTTTCACATAGTTGTAGCGTTTTTTTTGAACTACCACTGCGAACGGCAGATTTTCATCGGAGAGTAGTCGTGGGTAAGGTATTTCACTAGAGAGAAAACTAATCAATAACAATAAACAAAAAAATACAGATATTGGGCGCCAGGCATGTACAGAGAAAGAAAACACAGTTGTTTATTACTTAAAACTAATGACTATATTTATTCATGATGTTCGTTGCTGATACATGACATTGTAGAGTTCTAGTGAATATGTAGTGGTTATATGTCAAAGAAAGTGGTGGTAAGAGTTGTACTAAATATCTATGAAAACAACTATGATAAAATACAAGACATGTAAAGTTTAAGAGAATATATGAAATGTAGCATTACTTTAATTAATTTGATATATTTTATATGATGTTAGTGCAATAATAATATCTATAAAAAAGTAATACTATTACAAGACATAATGCAATGAAACCTAAGATCTAAATTATATTTTAACTACTAAATCGACATGAATGTTCTTAACAATCTAACCACTCAACATAGTCTATACGATATTATTTAAGATGTACGTTATTGTTTAAGACTGTAAATGTTTTGAATGTTAAATGCAAAACTATAACTTAAATCTACACTTAGCTGTTCTTTATGCAATCCTGCTTTAAACAGTAACAGCGTGAGGTGGTCTCGCATCTCTGTACTCAGCCATCCAACACAACCAAAGGGGGCCAGAATGAGGGCACCATGAATTGGTACAGCTGTAACTAACTAGCTTACAGCTGGGAACGAAGCAGCATGGGACTCTGCTACATCCGCGCTGTGGCACTTATATGTAAGAAAAAATCGTTCTTACTGGGGACACTCGTCCACAGGACATCCGTACATAAGATAATGTCCGTACATAAGACACTACACGTACCTTGGACACAGTCCGTACCTTGGACACAGTCCGTACCTTGGACACAGTCCGTACTTTGGACACAGTCCGTACCTTGGACCCTAAAAATATGAAACTCTTGTTTAAAACCAAACAAGGTCTAATAAACAAAATAAACCTACCTCGAAATACTTCCGAGGGCTCAATAAATAATAAACAACCTGTCCTTTTCTTCCATGTGACATTCTGAGGACAAAAGAAAAGGGACGCCAACGCCAGCAAAATACAAATACAAGTTGGGACCATCCGTAACTCTACCCTAAAAATATTCAATAATAATATCGAATCTATAAAAGGTAATAACTCATCTTTACCTGTAGCCTCGAAATAGCAGCTGATTCAAATTATACAGCAAGACTTAAATAATCACCATTTCCAAAAGCTGGGATACAACAGAGCGTCAAAACAAAGTGAGGTTAAGCACGGAGAGAGTTGACAGGAGCGATGTTGACAGCGCCTCCTCAGAGCGATAACAGGGTTGTGTCGAACGATAACAGGGTTGGCGACTAGGGAACGTAAAAATTACGCGTCAAATAAACTATCCGGCCTGAACGGGAGAGAATCCGGTGATGATAGGCCCAGACATCATATATTATATATAAAAAAGACATGTAACGAACTAAAAACGTTACATAGTGAATGTAATAAATAAACTTAAGTACTGGAAATTTAAGTATTATTTCTCTAAAAATTTATTGCTTATTGTAAAATCAGTACCTTCATCAAAATACCACTTTCGCTACTGGTTCTGTCAATATTGTCAATATCACCTGTACTCGTGACTGCAGTGGCATTCAACAAATCATTACCTAAAATTTGTTTTTTCTTCTTCTGTATAGTTTTCTATCAGTGCATTTTTATTTTCAAATATGCTAAAGTTACAAGCTTCTTCGAGAACTCCTATGTCTTGCTTGTCGATAATTTCTGGTTTATCTTAAATTGAAAAAAAAATATGTACCTGGTAAAGGCAAAAAGTTTTTTCCCAATTATTGTAATGAGCTAGTTAATTTTGTTTTATTGACTCATTCTTTACTTATTCTTAACTTTATTTTTCTAAATACTTCTGTATTGTATAAAATCTTACCTTTGACACATATTACAATCTCATTATTGCCACTATCAATATTATACCCATCATTTTGCATCATTTCATTGATTTTATCCATATAGGATAACAGATTTTTACGAATTTCTTCAAGCTCATCTCCTTTTGTATTTTTAGGACTTACTTTTTGAATTGGTTCACTACTACGAAATAGTCCGTCTTTTTTATTGATTTTTTCGCTAATTTTTATACCACTAGACATAAATTGTTTGCTTTTCTTTTGTGAATTTTCACCTGCTGTAATAGTTTTGCTACGTTCCGTATTAGTTGCTAGATTTCTTATCAACGAAGTTGCAGATATATTTTTATCACATACGTATTCTGAAATTTTGTTGTTGAATTTACAAGATTTTACTTCAACTTGATCTTAAATTTAAAAGAAAAAATACATGGTATTGGTATTTTTCATTTATTTCTTAGTGATTTATTAAAAAAACATATAAACTATATGAAATTTTACCTCCTGCTTTGAGTTCTTTACTTTTTGATGCTTTATATTGCGATTTCCCTCTTATTATTTGACTATTTTGCAGTTTTTGGACATTTGAAAAGTTCAATACATTTTCCGAGGTACTATTTTCAAAATGTTTTGCCATTTCTTTTACAGTTTTCATTGTACTGATAGAGTCCGTACTGTCTGATGTTAGAGGCATGGCAGATACTTAAAATAATATTTTTAAAGTTTACGAACTTAACTAAAAAAAAAATACTCACCTGAATGATTTGTTCTCTGCAAATTTTCGAAAAAATTGGTCAAGTCAGAGACATGTCTATTTTCTAAATGTTCGCCCATCTCTATTTACCAATCACTATTTACTGTACTGTGTTGGAAAAAAAATATTTTTTCATTCATATAACACAGTTAACACGATATTAAATGTTATTATTTTTTTATTACTCATTTTTAATAGAGCAACATTTTTGTCTAGTTTTGTAATATTTTAGGTACCTACAATCGCGTAAAAAGGAAAATTTTAACTAGCAAAATACACTTAAAGCTAATCAAATAATCTATAAAAGGGCTAGATTAAATATAGAAAAAATTGTGTATACCAGGAACATTATTTTTGATTTATATAATTAAGATAGTTCAAATGATAATAATTATTGCACTTATTGAATGATGATATACAGGGTGGTCCGAACTGTATTCCGGAAACTTCGGTTGATTAAATTACGTAAAAAAGTTCGTATAAATGTATGTCCTAAAATGCTTAGTTTCGGTGATACAGGGTGTAGAAATTTCATTTTTATATCAATTTTTTCCAAATAATTTCTGAAGTAACGTCAATATTTGGTTAAAAATTGGGGGCTGAGAGTTTTTTGGCACGACAAATTTGATTTTGATGTCAATATGACTTCTATTTGTAACAGTTATTCCGATTTGCATGAGATGTTGTGTGTCTATGTGTTGATAAGTGTGTTTGGGAAAAAATGTAAATAACTCGAAAACAGTTTGTTATAGCGAAAAACTTCAAGAGGTAAAAATTAAAGAAAATAAAAAACTCTATTAGAATCAATAAAAAATAGTTTATTAACCTCAAGCAATGACGTACAAAAAAAATTTGAAAATCGAGCAATTTTTAAAAGGAATCACCGAAATGCAAATTACTAATTTTTTAAGCATATTCACAAATAACATGGATATTTAGCATCAATTCAACTAAAATACAGTTCTTGTGACATTTCCAAGAAATATTTATTGGTGGTTTAATAATATTTCAAAATTAACAAAAATTGTCAAAGCTATCCTTTACTAAATACATTTGTACTAATAATGTGCGAAAGCAGCCTCCACCTTGTACCGGCCGGGGCTATTTGCAATTAAACCAAGGTCTTATTGTTACCATTTTGTAAACAACTTGTTTTTAAAAATACAGTGACACTTTGAAAAATTAGGCTACAGGTTGGAAGAAAAAAATAAAATGTAATGTAAACTGGCGACTTTCAAAACGTTGCAAAAAGATTCTCATCTGCGACAAATTACATCCGTTTTTTTTAGATCCTGCAGCACAAAAGTCTGAGCCAGTCGAAGCTGGAAATACAGTCTTATTTTCATTATATGGTCGACATAGGCTAGCAAAAGATTTAGATCAGTTGAGGTATTTTATTAGCTACCTTACCTCCAACAACTAACGCAGCTGAAAATCATTATTATAGGACCTATTTATAAATGCAGTATTGGCTAAATAACGGAGAAGAGGCCATAATGTGGATGGAGTAAAAAAACGGATACCTTTAACAACAATGTCAAACGCAGTGGCACCAGAATTTGTATTGAAAATGATTTACTGTAATTGCAAATCTGGATGTAATAAACTATGTACCATTGCGATCAAAAAAAAGTAGTACAAGAATTAGTAGTCCCAGATGGAACTCCTGGTCTATAAGGATATTTGAATTATATTGATTTTTTTTTGGATTTAGCCAACAACACTGTTTTTTTTGTTTATCCCTAATGCATATGCAATGTCCCTTATGGGAACCCCCATCCCTTAATCGCGTAAATATAATCGATTTTTGCTCTGAAGTTAAAGGCATTTTTTAAAAATTATGTGACACTGATACAAGAATATAGACCAGCAGGTTAAATCATATTTTGTTGTACTATTTTTTTTAATCGCAATGGCACATGTTTAAAATCCAATATGCCATGTTCATGCTTGTGTAGTAACTGTAATGGTATTTCTTGCGAGAACAAACAAATATCGGTCGATGAAGAACAAATCGAATAAAATTGTAAATTTCATTTTTTTTTTCTAGAGATGACAGTTTGAAAAGTTAGGTTACAAGTTGGGAACACATTTTTATTAAAATGGTCATAATTTGAATTATTGTTATTCGATTTATAGGGGTATGTTTATAATGTATTTATCATAATGAAAAAGTGTTAAGATCTTGGGTTAAGATCGTAGATGATATTTATGTCAAAAAGACATTCGCAAGTAGTTTATTACATTTTATTTTTTTCTTCCAACCTATAGCCGAATTTTTCAAACTGTTACTGTATTTTTAAAAACAAGTTGTTTACAAAATGGTAACAAAAAGACCTTGGTTCAAGTGCAAATAGCCCCGACCGGAACAAGGTGGAGGCTGCTTTCGCACATTATTAGTACACATGTATTTAGTAAAGGATAGCTTTGACAATTTTTGTTAATTTTGAAATATTATTAAACCACCAATAAATATTTCTTGAAAACGTCACAAGAACTGAATTGATGCTAAATATCCATGTTATTTGTGAATAAGCTTAAAAAATAGTAATTTGCATTTCGGTGATCCCTTTTAAAAATTGCTCGGTTTTCAAAAAAATTTTGTACGTCACTGCGTTAGGAAAATAAACTATTCTTTATTGATTCTGATAGAGTATTTTATTCTCTTTAATTTTTACCTCTTGAAGTTTTTTGCTGTAATGGACCGTTTTCGAGTTATTTACATTTTTCCCAAAAAGTACCAAAATTCAAGATGGCGGCCGTTTTTTTTGATGACGCACACATCGGACAAATGGGGACTTTTAGTATGTTAATAAGGGTTATCAAGGCTAACTATTTTCAATGGTCGCAGCTTTCTAAAAATTTTTGCAAATTCAAAATTATTTGCACTGGCAGAAAAGGTCTATCTTTACAATTTTTCTGTTTACTTCTTCAGTTTAAGTTCTGTAAGTTCTTTAGTTTATTTGCTTTGTCCTTCTATAAGTTTGGGAATTTAAAAATATTCACGTTTGAAAGATGTTTGTTTTATTACTTTCTGCTAAAAAGACCCTCTCCCGAAACTAACAACCGAAAACATCGACTTAAAGGTAAAGGACATAGGAAATAATTTGTTAATAGTATTAATAATAGTATAAAGGAAATAATCTGTTACAATTGGGACACCCTGTATATTTTGTTATTATAAAATGCATGATTTCTTCTGATTCTTTAGAAATTGTTCGTCAAACAAATCCCATTTTATCAACCCACCGTTAATTAATATTCCTAGATAAGATAAGACAGTAGGATAAAGATAAAAAATACTTTATGTTATTGCAAATACTAACGCTTAATATAGTGTATTGTGTTTAAAATTCCATAAAAATTAATATAATGAACAGAGATAACAGTATCTTCGCAGATTCTAAACCTAAAACTTCTAAATCGCACAAAAGTAACAAAGTTTCCAATCTGTTTGAAATCAAACGACCCAAAAAGCACAGAAGCGTGCACAGAACAAATTCGGTACAATCCGATGCAGCATCGGTAAGATCGCTTGAATTGCCTGAGTATTCCAGTAAAAATTCACGTCACAAGCATAAAGTTAGAAAAGGAAGCACGCGCTCTGAAGATCTGGATGTGCTGGAAGATATAAAAAGAAGTCGTTCAGTTGGTGAGCAGTTGCACCACGTTATGGAAGAAAAAACATGTAACGATGATTATAAACTTAACATCAACAGTTTTAAAAATTTGACAGAGGATGTAGAGGACGATAGTGTTGAATATATTTTTTGTGAAACACCTACCAACGATAAAGATGATTTTTTCAAGCTGGACTTGACAGAATCGACAGTAGACTTTGGTGGTTTAAAAATTATGAATATATCTAATGGTGAAGACTGTGCTTTTGAATATAGTTCCTTTAAACAAGATTATGGGGAATATTCCTCCGTAAACAGTGGTGAGTTCGGCTTAAGTTAAATAAAACTCTAAAAAAATTAAGTTATTACTACTTGTTATCAAGGTTATAATTGGGTGTAGTTATCTCAATAATAATTGTCAAATTAGATAACACAGATTTGTAACAAAATGTTTAAATATTAAACTTATATTACAGTTAAAAATTGGCTAGGGCTATCTATTCTTTATTATACAGAATTTTAATGATTCTTGATTGAATATTTTACTATTTTTGGATATTTTCTTAAAAATTATGAGAAAAATGATAAAACTATAAGAAAAAAGGAGCCATAATCCGAAACTGATAAGATTATTTTCGTACACACTGAAAAAATATTGGCGTAATAGTTATTTATGGACTCAAAATTGGCATTATTGTACTAATAATACTAACAATATCTTATTCATATTTGTTGTTTGTTCTTTTAAATTACCTTAAATATTCAATTAGTTCATAATTTGATTTCATACCGGCAAAAACCAATTTAATAGTACAATAAATATAATAAAGACATTAATAGGTACATTGTTTGAAAGTGAATTATAAAACTAAATATCTTTTTGGGGCTAATATTGTCTTTAGTTTTGAATTTTTTTACAACCTTGTTATGTTATCACACCGTTATCAATTGTGAACTGATCTAAATGCAAAAAACACAAGCAAAGAGGCGAAACAATGAAGTCAGGCATTGCTGACCATGTGTAGTCCAAGCAGCAAGACATACAGTGGTTAAAAGCTCAGGTTATCTACAAAAAACTTCATTAAAAAAATGCTTAATTTAAAAAAAATCCGTTATTATATTATTATAACAATCAAGTATACAGATTTCTACAAAATGTCAACTTTATCAAATGTACCAATCTTGGCATCACAGGTATTGGATTTGGATTAGTCAATACTTCTTGATAACGGTCAGTTATAAATGTAACCAAAACATAAGCGTAAGATTTCAGAATTAAATTTATTTATTCCTCTATTTTATTTTCTAGATAGTAAAGACTGTGATAATTTTAATACTTTCGACGACAGCGATAGTGAATTAGGACAATATACCGTACCATTTTGGTTGATGAAAAAAAGCTTTATCCATAAAAACACGAACGATAACCTGGACGACGAGGTATCCCCTCAAATTTCAGAAAAAAGTCTTACTATAAAACGATTTGATACTATCTTCAAAGAGACTGAACCTAAACAAGATGAGACAGAAGAAGACAGTGCCAGTATTTCTGAAGATTCATCAACCGGTACACTTATGGAGAAAAAACATCGTTCTATCAACACACATCATAAAAGGCCACCTCAAATTTCAGAAGAAAGTCTTACTATAGAACGATTTGATACTATCTTCAAAGAGACTGAACCTAAACAAGATGAAATAGAAGAAGACAGTGCCAGTATTTCTGAAGACTCATCAACCGGTACACTTATGGAGAAAAAATATCGTTCTATCAACACATATCATAAAAAGTCACCTGAAATTTCAAAAGAAAGTCTTACTATAGAACGATTTGATACTATCTTCAAAGAGACTGAACCCGAACAAGATGAACAAGAAGAAGATAGTGCCAGTATTTCTGAAGATTCGTCAACCAGTACACTTACCGCAAAAAAGCATCGTTTTATTAAAAATTCAGACGGTACTAGTAGTCGCAGGAGGATGGCACGCAGAAGAACAGGTATTCTTATGAAGCGAAATACTGTCAAAGAATTGGCGCATGTTTTTGAAAATTTCGAGGATGCAAGTAAAAATGGTGAGACTGAGAGTTATCGCAAAAGCTTTTTCGAGGAAATGGAAAAGGAAAATGAACAAATGTTGCTGGATGGGTTTGATGATGACGTTTATTTATCTATAAAGAAACTTCATTTAGATGATGATGGGAATAAAGAAGAAATTGAAAGTTTCGTAGATCCTGACGAGCATGTGGTAAAAAGACAAGGTATCATAATAAGTTTCTAAAGTTTCTAAAGTTTCTAAAGTTTCTAAAGTTTCTAAAGTTTCTAACGTTTCTAAAGTTTCTAAAGTTTCTAACGTTTGATTTGGTTTCTAAGGTTTCTAAAGTTTCTAAAGTTTCTAAAGTTTCTAAAGTTTCTAAAGTTTCTAAAGTTTCTAAAGTTTCTAAAGTTTCTAAAGTTTCTAAAGTTTCTAAAGTTTCTAAAGTTTCTAAAGTTTCTAAAATTTCAAAAGTTTTTAAAGTCTCTAAAGTTTCTAAAGTTTCTAAAATTTTTAAAGTTTTTAAAGTTTTTAAAGTTTCTAAAGTCCCCAAAGCCCCCAAAGCTCCCAAAGTTTCCCAAAGCCTCCCAAAGCCCCCAAAGCTCCAAAGCTCCAAAGCTCCCAAAGCTCCCAAAGTTCCCCTAAAGTTCCTAAAGTTCCCAAAGTTTCCCCCAAAGCCCCAAAGTTTCTAAAGTTTCCAAAGTTCCCAAAGTTTCTCCCTAAAGCTTTCCAAAGCCCCAAAGCTCCCCAAAGCTCCCAAAGCCTAAAGTTTCTAAAGCTCCCAAAGCCCCCAAAGCCTCCAAAGTTCCCAAAGTTCCTAAAGCCTCTAAAGCCTCCAAAGCTCCAAAGCTCCCAAGTTTCTAAAGTTTCTAAAGTTTCTAAAGCCCCAAAGCTCCTAAAAGTTTCTAAAGTTTCTAAAGTTTCTAAAGTTTCTAAAGTTTCTAAAGTTTCTAAAGTCTCTAAAGTTTCTAAAGTTTCTAAAGTTTTTAAAGTTTCTAAAGTTTCTAAAGTTTCTAAAGTTTCTGAAGTTTCTGAAGTTTCTGAAGTTTCTGAAGTTTCTAAAGTTTCTATACAGAACATTGATAATTCTAGACGTAGACCCTTTAACTCTACAAGATGTTGACGACTTCTTCGGAAAAATGTGTTTCAACGAAAATATCGAAGACGGAGTGGATTTTGTAGAAGCCTACAATCAAGATGGGATGGAACTAGTAATATGCACTTACCAACTTGATCGACATAGCATAGACTTGAATCGATTAAATAGTTTGATGATGAGTTCAGAAATTGCATCGCCACTAGTAGAATTGAATGAACAACACCTATTTTTAAGTGACGACTGGCAAAAATTAATGTCATCTGAAAATTATTTTAGTAACGGTGACGATTCGAAAAGGAATACTCTGTATTCTACAACTTCTGGTGATAGTTTTGAAGAAGAAGGTATGTTAATTAAAAGTTAGTTCTTATTTCAACAATTTTTCTTAAACATTTTCATTTTTAGTTCCTATCATTGACGAACGCCGCACCAGCAAACGGCGTGAAACAATAACCGATGAATATGGAGAAGTTAGAATAGAAAGAATCAAATATGTTAACGATGATATTAAGGAGAACGACACTAACAATGATCCTCCAGATAATGAAAATGTAGATAGTAAGTCTGAGTATAATGAGGAGTTTGAAGAGATTGAATTTAACTGTGAACAACTGGAGCACGAAGTAACTATTGGAGCAGCTTTGACTAAAAAATCTCCGTAAGTTATATTATAATTGTTGATTATAAATATTGACACTTCTTTTACTTTATATTCTATTAGTAACGTAACTGTTTTGTAGGATTATGTATATATTAGAAGAACTTGTCCTGACAGAAAAAAAGTATGTTAGAGACTTGGGAAGAGTTATTCGTGTAAGTAGAAAACAGAAAAAATAATGTTTAATAAAAACTAGGTTTTATACAACATTAAGATTATTGGTTATTTCTTTGTATTTCTTTTTTTAGGACTACAAACCGTTCCTTCAAAAAAGCCACCCGGATTTGTGCAGAACTATATTTGGCAACCTGCAACACATCTACGACAGACAAAAACAATTTTGTCATGCTCTAGCAAACTGTCGACTAGATCAGAATCTTATTGCCCGTGTCTTTATTGATTATGTAATATCATAGAGTTACCATTGTTATAACTGTTTCCAATGACTTTAATTTTAGGAAACTTTGTTTGATTTGTATCCAAGATATTTCAAAGGCACTCCAAGAAGTAACGCTGCTGTTAAACGTATTCATGAGGACCTTAAAGTAAGTTTTTTTATTAGAATAATCATAAAACTAGTAAATTCTTGAATATGAAATAATTGTTATTTTTTTATAGAAAAGACAGGAAGAATTACAAAATAAGTTGGGGCTTGCTGCATATATCCTCACACCGGTACAAAGATTAGGAAAGTACAAACTATTACTAGAAAACATTATTAAGGAACTAAAGAAAAATAATGAGACTGTAGGATCTGTGGAAATGGCTTTGGATATAATTAAAAAATACATGCGCAAAGGCAACGACGCTGTGGCAGTAGGATCCATCATGAACAGTACTATTAAAAATTATGGTTCTTTTATTATGAGAGAAAAAATCGCTTTGATGAAACCAAGAAGACTGGACGTTGTAGTGTTTTTGTTTGAACTAGTTGTGGTTATAACCGTGGAAGTACAGGTAAATAATTTAAGGGTACAAAGTACAAACATAGTGGGGCATCTCGATGCGATGCTCGCCAAGATGCTGGCCGCGTCACTCGTCAGGGATGCTAGCCGCGATGCATTCTACGCGCACAGTTTTAAAACGGCGAGTAAATGAGCGTAGGACGCATCGCGACTATCGTACAAACGTGAGATGCTATGAGTGGCAAGTGTTTAGTGACAGTTATAGTTGACAGTAGTATAATAAAAATAATAAAATCTAAATTTGTTTATGGACTTATTTAAATTTATAGCAAGTATTTTAATCACTAGATGATTAAAAAAAGTATACACCCAATATATATGTACCCAACAACGCCCTAATTACGCTCTCCTTTAGGTGTTAACATTTTTTCGGCAACTTTATTAACATTTGAAATTGTCACAACACAACACGCCGGCGCCGCCTAGTTCCAATTCTATTTCACTTATTTTTTACTACCCGAAACAGCGTTACATCACACAAACCTCGTACTAAGTGTTTTTTAGTCTCTGGGCACTAGCAAAAAACTAAAATACTTACATATTATGACAAAACCTCAATTTCAATATTATTTTTGTGTAACTTAGCTTTATAAACTTTATCAACCTGGGCACCTAAAATAGGTGCCCGGTGGTGTAGAGGTACAGGCCCTCGTCTACCAATCTCAAGGTAGTGGGTTCGAATCCTACACCCGGTATTTCATCGGTCGACTATTTTTATTAAAATAAAAATAGTTTGGGTACCTAGGTCGACTACTCAGTTTTAAATGAGTACTTGGGATTCACAATCCTGAGGTAATAATAGGCGGTTGAAGCGTAGTGCTAGCCACATTACCTTCCTTCTATACCGAACGGCTCTAGTATGGCAAGCTGTACCTTACTACTCCCAAGGCGTTACATGCTATATACGGGAGCTATTATATTATTATAAACTTTATAAGTTTTCTAATTTAATTAAATTTGACTTGTATGAACAATCATCTAACTTTATAAACGTTCACATTTTAGAACGACAAGGAACAATTCATGTTTTACAAATGTATATACACCAACGACCTTAGAATTGCGACTTTTAACAACAATACCATTCATCTAACGGATTTCGCTAAAGAGAAGAAAACCCTGAGGTTGAAATACACTTATGTACTGGACGCCAGACTACCAAAAATTAAGGATACTTGGAAACACGAGATAGAGAAGATTTTGTGGAATCAGCTCAACAACATAAAAGGTACTTATAAACTATATTCGTATCTCTCACCCTGTATATTTGTACGGGTTGGTGTAAAAGTATATTAGTAGAGATAATTAGGTTTTTGGAAAAGATATTTAATTCAGGCAATATAATTTATACAATAAAATAATTGAGAATAATAAAAGATCTTTCATAACTATGAGTGTTAAATATCACTTTAGATTTTGTGTGAATGTGTAATATTAGGAGATATTTAAACATAAAAAGAGCCCTTATAACATACAATTGAGAAAAAAAAACGTCGTCAAAGACGGCTGAGGATTGACAATGAATCATAATTTTGGCGAAATCAAGACCCATAATGTTATTTAATTGAATCTAGCATCTTTTGTATTTTTTTATAATTAGTGTTAAAGTTGTTAAAGTTTTTTTATAAGTAGTTATTTAAACAACGCCTAGAGATTGACCCTGCTAAAATTGCCAATGATTGTCATTCCCCAGTCGTCTTTTTTTTCGATTATTCGGGATTTATGTATAATAAATCTGAATAATTACATTAATATACGAATTTTTTTAATTTTTTTTTAGAGAAAGCTCTCCAAAAAAATAAAACACTTCCAAGAATTCCAGTCGCCAAAGGTAACTACCTTAACAAATAATTGAAAATTATTGATTATACAGGGTGATGATCTAGTGTTTTAAAACATATTTTTAACAGCATTAATAATTTGCTTAAAAAAATAGTTTTAACTTTAAAAGGGTACAGAAATTTATATTAAACACGATCATATTTTAAAAACTATTCGGTACAAATAACTACGGTAATTTTAAAATGGTTATTTAATTTAACTACAATATTTTTGTAGTTATATATTTTCTAAATTTCTATACCGTTTTAGAGAAAAAAAAATATGAATATTCCTCTATGTTCAAGTGCAGTAAAAAGGCATTTTCATAAAATTCTAGAAAAGTTTTTTCTTCTAAAATTAGAGAACATACAGTATAGTCATTAGCGTAATTAGCAATTTATTCTGGGGTGGGCCTGGGGGGGCGCCTGAGTATATAAACGCTCACCTTGTAGATTGTACTTTAGTTTATAATCATCTGCTGATGATGCTAACATGGTTAGCGAAACGCGCGTCCAGTGTAAAAGTAAAAGTGTTTTGGTGTATTGTGGTGATTTAGTGTTTTTATTTTGCTGTGTAACACCAAAGGTTCCAACCCTCAACTGTAATCTTGGTTATCAAACCGTGTTCCCGTAGATTACTTAAATACCTACAAATTTAAAAAAAAATTAACACATTTTTTGAACACAACAAAATAATATTAACTAAACAAAACTAAAAAACGGAATGTTTACTGCATCTCAAGCAAATAAAAATTAATACGTAGACAAGAGTCATAATTCAGGATTTCTCTGGGGGGTGCCGGTTCTTAGTTACGCCAATGAGTATAGTTTTACCGGCAGATTTCACTAACCTGGCTTACAGAACACTGGCTCAACCTGTATAATAGTATAATAAGAGATAATTAATATTTTTTTATATTTCCCTATTACAGTAGAAGAAAAGGAGGTAAAAGCAAAGTCGAAAACAGTTCCCAGGCGATCAAAATCAGTAACAGGTATAATTATTATTAAATAATCATCCAAATTATTTTTTATAACTAAAACAAGTAAAATTTTTAGGAAACTCAGTTTTCTACATGAGATAAGATGACAAAAATTTGCTCAGTGACTGGACGGGACTGTATTTAAAATAAAATATTATCAGTCACCGTATAAAAATGTGATTCTATATTATTTCTAATTTATTTACTTTTTTTATCTATTAAATTGTTTAAGCACGATTTTTTCGTGGTTTTTGAAATTATACTAACTACTTAATCTATGAAATTTGCGTATATTGTTTTTATATACCTAATGTTGAAAAAAATACGCCACATATTATCAAATAATGTGAAAGAAATTGAAATTTGTATGATTTTATTTTGTAATAAAACTATAATAAGTTTTGAAATTTCTTTTATAGTTTTAGGCTCGGTTTTAGGCTAGCCGCGCAGGGGAAGCGAAAATTTAACAAAAATGCTATTTTTCAGTCGTTTTGCAAAATGCCTAGTTAGAATATCACTCAATAATATTTGCTGTACAGGGTGGTCGAAATTGGTCTGTTTTAACAGAGAAAACCTATTTCCTAACGAGATAGAGCAAAACCGACCATAGATGTCATGGGCTCGATTTCTGAGACACGTTTAATGGCGTAAACCGCCTGTTGATATTTTCACTGCCAACTGAAATACGGGGTCTTTTTGAATTTTTTACCATTTGGAAAATTGCCCATAACTTTTGTATTTCGCGGAATAATAAAATTCTGTAAAAACGTTCTTAAGTTACTTTTTTAAGCACAATCCAGTGGCGTAGTCAGTTTTTTATACATGCTCTTTTTGTCAGAAATAATAAAAAATATAATTTTTTAAATGGAAATCATAGTTGGCTATGAACTTAAAAAAAATGCTGGCTTTTAACCCTTTCCAACCATATAAACTTATGTGTATTTATTTCTAAGAATGAGGGAAATATTAGATTTTTTATCTTTGTATCGAAGCGGGCCTGATTTTGTGTTGACGTAGTTGCCTAATTATTTTTTATCACAATTTAATACCCTATATTATTATTTATCTGCATAATTAAAAACTTTTGAAAAGGTAAATCAACATTATATGTTAGTATTACCAACTACAATTAAAACGCTAGGGTTACAACTGAACTATAAAATGGAGAATTTAGAGAGAATTGGGTTGGAACAAAGGGCCCATATCTTGGCCTCCTAGGTCCTGTGATTTAACTTCTTTCGACTTTTTTATGGGGGAAATTTAAAGACCTTATATATAAGAGAAGAACCATTGGGACAAGAGAAAGAATTGCAGAAGGCTACTAGGTAAGCTTTTGGACTTATTAAACCAGTTTGCCTAATAAATCGTTGTAACTCGTAACGCAAAAGATGTTTATTGTGTATTCAACAAGGAGGTGCTCAATTTGAACATCTTTGATTTTTTTAGAAACTATATTCGTCACCCAAAAAACGTTTTTTTAGTTTTGTTCTTTGTTTATTGTATCGATTTCAGTTGTAATTACTAATACTAATAATTACTATTACTAATAATAATAGAATGTTAATTTATCTTTTCAAAAGTCTTTAATTATGCAGATAAATAATAATATAGAATATTAAATTGTGATAAAAAATCATTAAGCAAATAGGCCAACTCAAAATCAAAGCCCGCTTCGATATAAAGATAAAAACCCTCATATTTCTCTCATTCTTAGAAATAGATACCCATAACTTTATATCGTTGAAAAGGGTTAAACGCCAGCATTTTTTTAAGTTCACAGCCAACTACGAATTCCATTTATAAAATTATATTTTTTATTCTTTCTGACAAAAAGAGCAAGCATAGAAAAAAACTGACTACGCCACTGGATTGGGCTTAAAAAAGTGCCTTAAGAACAAAACAAAATAAAAACACTAAATCACCACAATACACCAAAACACTTTTACTTTTACACTGGACGCGCGTTTCGCTAACCATGTTAGCATCATCAGCGGATGATTATAAACTTCAGTTCTTAATGATTATAAACTTCAGTTCTTACTTCAGTTTATAATCATCTGCTGATGATGCTAACATGGTTAGCAAAACGCGCGTCCAGTGTAAAAGTAAAAGTGTTTTGGTGTATTGTGGTGATTTAGTGTTTTTATTTTCCAACCCTCAACTGTAGCCTTAAGAACGTTTTTACAGAATTTTATTATTCCGCGAAATAAAAAAGTTATAGGCAATTTTCAAAATGGTAAAAAATTAAAAAAAAAAAACGTATCTCTGTTGGCAGTGAAAATAGAGGGAATAGGTTTTCGCTGTTAAAACAGACTAATTTCGACCACCCTGTACATTTCTGCCAAAAGGCCGCTTGTTTTCAGTCAACGTTCAAAATGCCTAATGAAGCCTAGTCATGCCTAATGAAGCTTAGTGAGATTGCACAAAACATTTTACGCAAAATTGGTATATCTAGCCTATATTTTTCCAAGGACATTTCTTGAACTTCTCTTTCAAAATTGGGAAATAATGGCACAAAATAATGACGATTCTGTTAATGAGGGTGTGGTCAAGGACGATTATTATTATTATTTTCATCAAGACAGCAAAGTTCCACCAAGAAGCAGCCCTTGACACGGAACCGAATTAGAGAATATAGTAATTAAATTTAATTTACTGAGTGCGTCTCAAATGTGGCTCACACCTATAATTTTTTTTTTCGGATAAAAAAAACGAGGTTTGGTATGTTAGTATATGACATAAATTAGTATTAATTTACGTATTCCATTGTTTTCGGTCACTTCCTGTTTCAGCGGAAATGATTACAACTTTTGATTTTTAAATGGGACCCTCAGTATATTTTACTTTGTTCGATAGAAAGTGACATTCTCATTGAAAAAAATCTTATTTTAAATTTCAATCTAAAAAACCGTGGCTATGTTAAAAACATTTATTTTTAATCAAGTAGCCTTGGAAAAATTGATCGTCTAATGTTTTTAGGGTCTTGTCCTGTCCGGTTAAGAGATGCCGAAATCGTATTTTAATCATATCTCACTTTTTTAAATGGAACGAGGGTGGTTCATTAGCATAATTGGAAAAATCATTTTTTTACAAATAATTTGGTACCACACACTTGATATTCGAGTCAAATTGTCGCTATCGCATGTTGGAATTAAGTTGACATATGATATGTCATTCTATTCAGAGCAGCGATTTCAAAAGCGAAATTATTCAAAAATTATAGTCATTTCCGGTGAAACAGGAAGTGACCTAAAACAACTGAATACGTCAATCGATCCTAATTCACGTCATATACAAATCTCGTTTTTTTATCTGAAAAAATAAGTTATAGGGGTGAGCCATTTCTGAGACAAACCCGGTATACTCTTGCTTCAAATTCCCCCCAAAATTCCCCCTAGATAGGTATTTTTTTGATGAAATTCCCAGAACATATTCATCCAAATTAATCTTACAGGACAACCTTATCGTGACTGATAAGGATAAAAATAAAATACGATAGGTATATATCTTAAATCAGCCCCATCATTTCTATTTCCCTGGTAATACACCTTTTTAATTACCAAAGTTTAAAGTAGCACCGTCAAAATCGTATTCTACTAACAATATATTCATGGCAAACTCAAACGCTGAAGCTGGAATAGAAATTCATGATGTAGACCCAACTAGTGATGAGAATATGCGTGTTGTTGCACGAAAACCAAATATAACACGAAGTACATCGCTAACAGAAAGAATAAGAGCTGGGTTAAGAAGTATTACCAACCGCAAGTATCGTACAGTAGCTGTTACCGAGAAAGAAATAACTATAGCAAGTATTTCACCTCCTCTGACTCTGAGCACGAACAACAATACCCAACTTGTTGGACCTATCAATTCTAAATACACATTATTAGGCTGTTTTTTCGATATAAATGGTTATGGAGACTTTCTGATGATGGACGAGTTCAAAGTAACGCAACTTACAAAACTGACTATGATGGTGTTTTTGTACGAAAATATTATGATTTTTACTATGGTAAGTGGGTTCGGGGGCAAATAAGCCTTATCTTACTATTAGTGGAGTGCACTGAGAGAAAAAACGTTGTAAAATCAAAAATAATGCTAACGAATCAAATAAAATCAAACATGTTTTGGCCTCATTAATGCTCATAATTGAATTATGCATATACTCGTATATAAAACATACATGATCATTGTCATTGTTAGTGGTATATCAGATTTAGAATAAAAATGCTGCCTATTTGATTTAAAGAAATATACATTTGTTTATTAGTGTTTTCCTTTTGTTTTTCAAATACATTCCTTTTATTTCAAGCTTTTCTCTTTATATTTTCAAATGTAATGCTTAATGATTTATTAATATGTCACTTTGTTTAAAACTTGAGTTGATTTTAATCGAATAGGATCAGTACTAACAATTTAAATGAAATAAATATCAAATTTATTAGGAAGATAACTTTATTTCGGAATTAATCTTTTGGTGATAAGTAGGTAAATACAATTGTATTGAATGTCTTCCAAAATCAAAAAAAATAATAGATATAAGGGTATCCTGGTGAATTTTGTCTAGTGACGAATGGTTTTTGTAATGTCCTGGAATTGATCTGTCTTTATTAGATTCCTTCAAAGGTCACAGAGATTCTAAAAAAGAAAGCAACGTTTAGTTAAATATATGATACTTTTCTCTATCTTAAAACTGGAGTTAACCTGAAACAAAAATGTTTATATACAGGGTATACAGGATTTGCAGGTTTTCTGAATCGTATAATTGCAAAAAACAGTATTTTTTAGGTTCCTAACGCCACTATAGATGAGAAAACCGCGCCATGGTGAATTTAAAAAGTGGTGTTCTTAAATTCCTTGAAAAAAAAAATTCTTCATTCTTTCGCGAAAAGATATTGTCGTTGGGTAATACATTAAATTTACCACCCTGTACAAATTTCTGTTCTTTACAGGATGAGGCAACGATAGAGTAAAGTCCAATATCTCAATAATTGTTTGGAGGTTTACAAATAAATGTTAAATACAAAAGTTATAGGGAAGGTTAAGATACACGTTTTAAATTATTGTAGAATATATTTGTATTGTATATTTTTTTGTATTATTGTATATTTTTTTTGTATTGTATATTATTTGTATTGTTATATTGTAGAAAATACTGGGTGCTTCATAAAGTAAAAAAAAATAAGGAAGGTTGGAAAAAATATATTTTTTTATTTATTTATTAATATCTCTGATATTATCGAAATATATTTACTCATATATAATATATTATGTAAAGTGATCCAAAAGGAAGCCAAAAATGCAATAATATACAGGGTGTTCCATTTAAAAAAAAACATCGATCCACTTACACATTGTTGAGCCACCCTATAGAAGTTGAAATATTTTCCTGAAATACATCCTCGTACATACTTTAGGTTTGAACTTAAACAAAATTCTCAAGTTTTTTATTCTAGGAGCTACAGATGCCCGACGCACTACTGCCGGACCTTGTATATTATAAAAAAATATTATTAGATAAAAAAGTTATAGAATTTTACGTAGAATTTAAAAAATAAAATAAAAAATAGGGTGTTGCATTTAACAATTTATATCCGCAACACTTTTTTGAAACACTCTGTATATTCTACAATAATTTTAAAAGGTGTATCTTAACCCTCCCTATAACTTTTATATTTAACATTTTTTGTAAATCTCAAAACAAAGGAGATATTGACCTTACTCTATCGTTGACTCACCCTGTACATTCTGTAATGTTCATCAATATATTTTTTTACCTTTTATACTGGTACGAGCTGTAGTAAGTTCCACCTTTTTAACAATTTTGCTAGCTTGACTTCGTATTCCTTTACATCTGAATTTTCATCATCTAGTGAAATATTACTTTGCAAATTTGAATTGGTGAATTCGTCCAGCGTTAAATTCAAAATCACAATGCATCATTTCGTCCGGCGTCGGTCGTTTCCATCACTCTTCAAGAAAACCTTTGGCCGCCTTAATGCTACTGAAATAATATTAACGTTTGATCATTCTAAACAAGTACTTAAACAACACATTACCTGTAAACGATACAATTCTCCTTTTTGTCACTAACAACTGTCGTATACAATAAATATCATTGTACTATTCAAAATCATGGAACGCGACAAAAATCATACAACAACGTGTGGCTTAATTGGGCTTATCCCGTCAATACCGCCAAACACCATCTTTCGATGTCCACCTCAAATGCATGCCTAACAGAAATGTTAGCAATTCTTATAGAAATAGTGCTTTTCCGGGATGTGGAGCCATCTTGTATGTATGCATTTGTATATGTGTGTTTATTTAAATACTAAAGTCAAAGCAACGCATTTAAATGGTGTTTAATGGTAACTTTGTAATATATCTCATTAACAATACAATGCAAAAAGTTTTATAAAAACCGAGGACGCCTAAATTTCATAGGGTTTTAAAATTATCATCCTTAAAATTAATTAAAATATATTATTTTTATCTACCTTTTCAAGGCCAGTAACATCATCATAAGACATATTTAATAATATTAACTTATATTTATTTGACTTAATTCTAGAAAGAACCCAATAAAGACTCATATTACTTCAAAGACAGCATTAGAATGGAGGATCTTTATTTATGTGCAATCAAAAAGAAAACTGTTCTGGTTGTTAAGAATCACACCAAAAGCAGAAGATATCATAAAGAAATATTCTTCGAGTTGCATACGTCATCAGAAGACATACAATTTAAATGGCGCATTGCCCTACAAAAGTACTTGTGGAAGCAGTTTGCTAAAGTGAAACAAGAGAAACAAGAAAACCTAGTTTAACAAAGACACTCTCAGTAGTGTTAATATAATATGGAGTATCTAAAAACCAGCTGCAAATTTACCGAGTGAACACAAAATATAACATATTTCTATTACTACACTTCTCATTTCTGTAAAGTATAGGTTACACTAGTGCAAGTATATGAGTATCCATAGTTTCTCTAATAAGTCAAGTATTAAAAATATGCATACACATCATTTTTTTATTGGTAATTTTTACCACTCTTATAAGTTGATTTGGACAAAATGGGGTGCTCTTAGCTACCTCCACAGCTGTCCTGGACGAACCCCACAATTCTGAGCTACTCTTTATTTATAAGCTCCAAAAAGAGGCTTTATTTTCCCGTTTTGCCCCTTTTATTTTTTTCTCTATCTCCAAGGTTGCAAACGGTGCCTCATGCTGTTGTTTGCCTATGCTTCTTGTTTTCTGTTTCATGGGATTGGCTGCATCGTTGCATTCTTTACCAGACTGATGATGCTGGAAGGCAGATACACTAATGTACATTTGTGTAGCAGTTACACTGGTATACACTGGTGTATACGGTTACAAGTTTGTTAAGGGCTATGCCGATAAAAATGTAAATAAATATAAATTGTAAGTTTTGGGTTCGTTGAAGGACTATTAGAGCTCCCATTTAAATATAGTTTTACAAGATATAGAAATATACAATATACAAATAAAGATATACAAATAAATAAAAAATATCAAAGTTGTATTTTTTTAAATAGAACACCCTGTATATTATTACATTTTTAGTTTCTACGATTAAAATAAAGGAAAATTTGATCAAGGCTTATCATACTTAAACTTTGCCGTTTTTTAAATATTTTCAATTTTGTGGAATTGCAGTAAAAATTTTTAGGCTTCATTTCTCCAAGGGTATCAAAGTTTTTAATACTAAATATTTACTGAAGATTATTTATTGATTATATATTGGTGTTGCAATAATAAAAATTATACTACCTTATACAGAGTGTCTAAAAATTTATATTAAATAATTACTAGCTTTAAACGGCAATAACTTGTTACATCCCTACATCAACTACAAAAGTGGATAGCTGCGGCACTAGAGAGGCAAGCGGGAAACAACACGCCGTAACACACACACGTGTGATAGCGTGTTATGGCGTCGGTTGGCGTGGCGTGTTGCCTAGTGTGGACGCAATACATGTAATTAAATGGAAAACATACGCACAGATCTTCACAACGACGTAGCATGGAATCGCGCGGCGTAGCGGGTTGGCTAATGGGGTCCTGGCATTAGTCTCCCGTTGGATTAATGCAGCAGTGTTTACAAAAAATAACTATTTTATTTTGTAGATTTTCTTAGAGTGGCGAAATTCCCATAAGACTTTTTGAAGAGATGAATCCGCCGCAGAGGTATAGACATGTTTTATTTATTTGTTTCATGTATACTGATTTGGATTATTTCTTCTAATATCCTTCTCTTCAAAGCAGATAATTAAATACGTTATTAATATAGTTAATAATATTAGATTGGTACTGTTTCATTCTCGACCATATGACAACTATGTTTAAGGTTGAAATTATAATGGCAAAAAGATAGTAGTAATGTTGGTTGCCTAGAATGGTTCTATCTTTACTATTAAGCGAAATAACTCCAATTTGCTACCAAAATGGAACACTATATTATGTATACACATAACTACGTTATGTGTATACTGTAGCATGAAGATCCTCCTATATGGTATTTTTTTTTTAAATTCCGTGAACATATTTCCATTATAATCTTTTTTCAAACTTTAAAAACTGTAATCTTTAATAGAATTTCAAAAAATAATCACAGGACAACCTTATCAGCTGATAAGAATAATGAAAATAAAATATGATATGTTTTGAATCATTATTAGTTCCCTAGTAATAAACTTTTTGAAGTACGACATTTTAGAATAGCAGTGAAAATATCGTATGGTTATAACATAATAGATCCATGGAAAACACCAACACAACAGCAACAGTGTTCCATGATGTGGATCTTACTAGTGATGAGCACAACAAGTGTGTGACACGGAAACCATCGATAACACAAAGAATTAAAAATCGATTTAGAGGAAAAAGTCAGCGCAGACATCATACAGTAGCCGCGACTGACAAGGAAATGATCATAGCAAGTATTTCGTCTCCAGTGTGTCTGAACTATAGTACTCAAAGTGATGAAGCTCTTGAATCCAAATATTCTATATTGTCGTGTCCTTTCGATATAAAAAGGCTATGGAGAGTTTCTGATGATGGACGAATTAAAGTGAAGCATCCGAAAAACTAAGCCTGATGGTGTTTTTTGAAAACGAAGGGATTATGATTTTTACCAGTGTAAGTAGGTTGGATAAATAATTGTTATCTTACTATAACAGTTTCAGCTTGTAATGTTAGTTGTAACGAAATATGTACATTTTGAAAAAAAAATTACTTATAAAAAACTTATATCATATAAAAAAAAAACTGCGTCAAAGACGGCTCTGCAGTCGGCAGTTAAAAGGCGGCAAGTGATTGTTTTTCAATTTTGAGATTTTTGCATTTTTAGACTAATGTGATCCTACTCCAAGAACGGTGAACTAATAAGATTGCTCATATCCTCATAAGACGAACGTTCGCCTCTTCCCGCGCTTCAGCTGACAGTTGTGACGTCATTGTAGTCCTTGTCATGATAGTGTGTATTATTAGTTGCCTATGGTAAACTTATAAAAATAACAGCTGAGAAATTTTGAGTTAATTATTTTGTCAATTTTAAATGTGAAAAAGGTGTCTTTAAAGTTTTTAGAGCTATAGAGTGTATAAATACGTTTATTTTGTGTTGTGGATTATGACAAAGTGCATACTAAGTGCCCACGATTTTGTTTATTAATTATTTTAAAGCAAAATATGGAAGTACTCTAAAAAGAATGCTTGCAAAAGGTGATGCTGGCAACTGCTGTTCTTAAAAATGCATTATCCGAATATTTAATACGATTTATACAGTTAATTTTCTCTACTGCATACATATAAGGTGTTTAAATAAATAAACTAAATAATGAACGTTTTGCATTCGGCAACCAATAATGCACGTGTGTATATTATTGGTTGCCGGATAAGGACTAATAACCATGACAAGGACTACAATGACGTCAATAAGCGAGTAGTTTTCGCATGCACCTGGCGGACACTTTTGGCTGAATGAGCAGTCCTATTAGGTTAACTGTTCTTTGGTTAGAGTGACTTGAATTAACGTTAGCCTAGAAAAGATCCACTGATCCAGTCCATTCATTATTATTGGGTATATCTGACCAAAATAATCCAGTCATGATATTAAAATTAAATAACATTTTGTAACGCGTTGTCAAAAATTTTCAAGATACATACGTAGTACGTACTCGCATGTACGTCCGTAGTACGTACTCGCATGTACGTCTGTAGTACGTACTGGCATGTACGTCCGTAGTACGTACTCGCATGTACGTCCGTAGTGAAGTCCTACAATGTACGTAAATAGTACGAACGGGGGGCACGTACTATGTACGTACACTTTTGTACGTACACAGTACGTCCCTAATTGGTCCCGGGACGTACCGACGTAAAATGGACATAAAATGTACGTCCCTGGGACGAAGTGTGCTGTATGGGTGGAGAATGACAATCGATAATAATTTTAGCGAAGTCAATCTCTAGACTCTCTTTTTTCGATCGTATGGTATTTAGTAGGTACATTTTTTACACTATGCATAATGTTAAAATTATTAAAATGTATTTAATGTAACTTAATTCCAGAGAACACCCAATGGAGAATCATATTACTTCAAAGGCAGCATTAGAATGGAGGATCTGTGTCTATGTCCAGCCGAAAAAAAGACTGTTCTAGTTGTTAAGGACCATACGAATAGCAAAAGATTCCACAAAGAAATTTCCTTCGAGTTGCACACGCTATCCGAATACATACAAGTGAAATGGCGACTGGCCATAGAAAAATGCTTGTGGAAGCAGTTTGTTAAAGTGAGACAAGAAAGCCAAGGTTCACAAAGACATTCTCAGTAGTATTAATAATATGGATAATCCAAAATCAGCTACAGATTAAATGACATGTTTATACAGGGTGAGTTTCCTACGATGGTCGGTTAAATGGGGAAAGAATTGCAGTTTTGTGGGGTCATAAATATGCGCCTTTTAGATTTTTGAAAATGTTCATGACAAAATTGTCTCTACTTCCATTATAAGCTACTTTAGACAAAAAGTTTTCAGATAAAAGTTGTAGATAATCACATCCTTAATGAGATTGTGTTCTCCGTTTTTTCTTCTAAAGCCTGTCATTTTTAACATATGACACAAACATATGTTTTTTTTTAATGGAAACCATACTTGGCTATAACTTCATAAAAACCGCCATTTTTTAAGCTTTTTAGCGATATAAGCTATAATATGTTTTCTTCGAAAAATTACTGAGTTATAGCCATTTTTAAAAAATTCAAAATATGTAAAAACCACAAATAAATTATGCTTGTCCAAGCGTTTTCCCGAAAGACTAACCGTTTTTTAAATAACAAATATTGTAATATTTGAGAGACGTTTTCACCCTCTTGGAATTTGAGATTTGAGAAACCCCTCCTTATCGAACCTCTACACCCCACGGTCAATCCGTTTGCCAAAAATCAGCTTTAAACGTCAGTTTAAGCAGAATCGTGATTACTCAATTATCATATTTTATGAAACACCCTGTATACATTTACAAAAAATCTTAAAATATATAAAACAACAAAATAAAATATACGTGTTTAAGAGTTTTTTCGAAAAACTTACAGGTTTTTAAATAAAAAATATTTTAATATTTGAGGGATAGTTTCACCCCCTTCGAATTCGAGTTTCGAAAAATCCCTTCTTATCGAACCTCTACACCCTAAAGACTATCTGTTTTCCAAAAATCAGCTTTTTACGTTAAACGCTTTAAGCAGGATCGTGATTAATCAATGACCAGAGTTTTCGAAATACCCTGTATACATTTTTAAAAAATCTTAAAATATGTAAAAAAATAAAACAAAATATACGTGTTTAAGCGTTTTTTCGGAAACGACCGTTTTTTAAATAAAAAATATTGTAATATTTGAGGGGTGGTTTCACCCCATTTCACCCTCTTGGAACTGGAATTTCGAAAAATCCCTTCTTATCGAACCTCTACAGCCTAGAATCAACCTGTATGCCAAAATTGAGCTTC